AATTTGGTTCGGTGTTGGACAAAGTGGGACACGCCCATCTCTTCATGGTCTATGGGAAACGAGGGCTCTTAACTTGATCACGAAGTGCTCGGAATATGAAGTTGACGACGCACATGTGACTATTGATGTGGCTTAGAATGCGTGGGGTTCTGCGTCTATCTCATCCGTCTTTTCGGCTTGACACTTCGGCTCACTGATCACTTTATATCACTTAACCCCTGTTAGTATTTCGGCAAAATACAGATATCAACTGCAGCCCTGAAGACGGAGACAGTATTATTCTGTGACAAACTTTTATCTACCTACGAGTCTACAACCCAGAACAACATACTGAAAAATCCTTCAAGGCCCTCGAGTAAGAGACGAAAGAAAGTAGTCTTTGAAATCGGACCAGTGTAGATGCTCTGGATACTCAAACATGTAGAGACAGATTGGCTATGATTGTGTTTGTTCACTAGTTTATTCGAGTCATTTATCCTGCGGTGTTCCAAAAGCTAGACCAAATGCCAGGACTGTTCAGTTTCTCCACAAGCAAGGTCTTCCCTCCACCTGTTGTCTATGTTAACCACGTCGTCCGGGCTTTTTAATATTCTGCTGGCTCACTGATTGTACGGGCTTGCAACAACTTCACGACGTCCTGTGGGTTTTCTGTCTAGCAACCGTGGATCTTGTCGTGCATGGCTGAAAAGGCAACATAAATCTACTAAAAATAAACCTTCTAGAACAAAGTACATTTTCGACTTTCGGGGAGAGCTTCGTTGAATGTTTAAATATTTGTTTCAGCATTGCAGTTGCCATCTTCAGGGTAGGTATGTAATTGTTGGGCGTTTTACGCGACCTCATATAGATCAGGCAGTAGATGGAGATTTGGATTTGATGGTGCTGATTGGTGGAGAGGAAAAACCGGCTATTATGCAATAAGAGATACACACTTGTCTCAAGAGAACAGGATAAAATTTTTGTGAGAGACTCATGGTGAGGAGAGGAGATAACGGGAATTTTAGTGACCATGTAAATCGGGACAGAATCTAAAAACATACGCACCATTAACATAATATAGATAACAGACATATTTTAAGTTCGTGCAGTTCTGAGATATTTTGATTAACTTGTACGTCTTACGACATTCTTCACATGGTGTCATATAGAATTTGCAGAATAATATTGCGTCTATGCATTTGACTGGCTGTTGACTGAAGCTGTAAAAAGACAGATCAATGAAGCTGTTAATTTTCCAGAGGGCTAAAGGAACATGTTAATGCCCCTTAATAGAGAAAGCTGTAGAAAAGAAGGTAGAAAGTATTAGGAAGTCTAGCGCTGCCTCACATTTTATCAGCCCGTCGCGTTGGACAGAAAACTCGTTAAAACTTTGTGTCGCAAAGGTTCCGGTCCGAATGACGTTTCCTCGATGTAGAAACATGTCGGATGATTTTCCATATTTATCCTGGAAATTATTTTGGAAGCCAACACGACATTCGGTTAGGAAAGGAACTCTACGCCGTAAGTAGTTGTGACAAAAGCAGTTCATCAGTCCATTCGAAAGACGCTGTCGTAAAATATGTAGTCATCTCTAACAATAAAATTTTATAATACATGTAACACGTATTAAAAACAAAATGTATTTCGGAAATAGTTGCTGCACTATGTATCTTAGGGACAACGTCTGTCTCGGGTACAAGGAAGTACATACCCTATAAAGTGGTAATTAGATGGGATAATAATAAGGTTCAACATTGCGACGTGGATACACGTGGCATTTCAACGTAGCATCTTCGAATCAGGCAGGCAGTTACGAATAGAGTAATGCACATTGAAGTTCCTTAAAATGCAGAGAATTTCTTAACCAACTCAGCTTCTATTAGCTTATTAAAAAGAAACCTTTTCCCTAGGTTCGTTTGTTATTTTGTTTATCAAATCTAAAACTTCTTGACGATGGTGAAGAGTCAATTGAATAAAAATTTTCTTGGATATTATCCATCGTCTAGTAAATATAAAACGTAAAACGACGTTTCGGAGATGGGACTCTATCCGGAGATAGGGATTAGCTCTATCTAGTGGACCCAACTGTGTAGGAACCTGAAGACGGCGATAGAGTCCCATCTCCGAAACGTCGTTTTACGTTTTATATTTACTAGACGATGGATAATATCCAAGAAATTTTTTATTCAATTGTTATTTTGTTAATTACTAAACTTAAATGAAACTTAATACAGTGGTACATGATCGTACTCCCACTTCAATTTATTACCATTTACAAATTTGGAATTACTCCTTTCTTTCTTTCTAATCAAAATTACAAATGTAATGTCACTAATGACGAAATTGTAGTAATTCTCTCATTTGTAGCAGACTACTTCGGACGCAACACCGAATGGTGTTCCAGCCTTGCAGAAGGGCGATCCGTTGCCAGATAACGTAACTAGTAGGGCCATTTTCCTTGACGCTAGCGCCCGGGGTCAAGGAGCAAGTCATAAAAGTGACGGAAAGTCTATCAACTCGGATCGCTGCTGCTGGTTTTCGAGCAGACGATGATTCAATTAGCAGAACGAGCACCACAAGCGGCCAGTGTGCTGGAGTTTCTCCAAAATTACCTGTCAAATATATCCATCAGACGAACGCAACCTGCAGCACTGAAATTCAGACTCGCATGGACCTCGTTGGTATTTGTACAGATAAAAGAGCACAACACAGAATAAGTGCAATATATTAATGTGATACGAAATCAAATTCAGGAACAAAATAATAAAAATGTACTCTAATTACATAAAATGAATCGTATGATAAATTTTAAAATTTGCTTGGAACGATACTAATGCATACAAATGAGGTTCGTGATAAATTTTAACTTGCCTAACTCAAATGTATTATTGTTACATGTTATCGCTGTGAAACTGAAAACTAAATGTAATTTCTCGCTGAAGGGGTGGTATTGTGTTACGTTGAATAAAAATATATTTTAAAAGTTGCGTTTTTCTTGAATGCTACTAAAACATCTTGTCACTGTTTATGAAGTAGCGCTTGTGTCTTTTCAACCTTAGAGGTTTTTACGGTCGCTATGTTGGTAGTTTGAATGGTTGAAAACAAAGCGCGATCAATTACTTTAGCCCCTTCTGTACCATGTAACAAAAATTATAAATTTAAAGATGTAATTTATGCATTGTTACAAGATACTGCACTCTTAATAATCGAATTCTGACAACATATTTGATTTTCAAAGTAAGTTCGTATTTAACCTTTTATCAAAATAAACTCAAAAGTTCAGTGTATTTAAAAAGGGATTTATAGGACTTTCTCTGTTGCTTATATTTGAATCAAGGTGGAACACAAACCTATTTGTTTTATCATAACCAATAACACACCCAGTTACTAGGGCCATGAAAGATATCAGGATCAGATACGCGCAACTGTAGACTGCGTGGGGGCTGACGACGGAGGAAGTGAGGTCCTCTAAAACGCTGGTCGTTATCTACCAGACTACACCAGACTGCACGGTGCGTCATCCCAGAAAATAGCCATTGTCCTTGTAATGAATATTCGGATTTTACAAAAGTCTGAGAATCTAACGGGCAGCTGATTAACTGTCAGATTATCAAAGATTGTTTTTATGGACGTAATAAAGCAAGACAATCTGTAAATGTAAATTTGGAGGACCGCCTTAAATTTTACTAAAAGCACTGAGAACAGAAATATGCCTTTCAGACTATCAACTGTTTAATACAATTGACAACGTGTAAATTCTGAAACATATCTCAGATATTTGCACTGTTTTATAATTTAGCCTGGTAGTGTCTTAAAGCCAGATACCGAAGGCTCGTCCAGCTACCTGCTTCGATATATGATGATTTCCATTATATTCGTTCTCCAGTGTGGTAGGCGGAGTCAGTTGCCATGATTACGTACTTCATACTGCGTTCAGTTTATGCGAAGAAGTGAGGAATATTTCACAAACAATTCCAGAATCATGTTTGTTTCCAAGAATTTGTCTGTTTACGTTGTGCTGAACAAGTTGCATGCGGCGTGTATTAATTTTACGCTCTGAAATAGCAGATGAGAATAAAAAAGGTAACAAGAACACAAATTGTTTTTATAGGAAGGAAGTTCTTTGCTTAACAGTGGAGCAGTGTTTTTAGCATAGGAATTTATAAAGTAAACAATGGTTTACTCTTCTCGAAAATCGAATGGAAGTTGAGTTTGAAAATAAATTACTGAGAAGTTCTTTAAAGTTGTTGAAAACGTAGTTAAAGTATAATAACAATTTTGCGAATTTTATAGAAAATAAAGTATCTGTTTAAAATATAATAATTTTGGATATTTATATGTGTAGACTTAGTAGAGTATGATGCAATTAGAGATGATCACGTAGTAGGGAACTATTCCAAAGTAGGTGGAATTGGTAAATTTAAAAGTCCAGAAATCGTACACACTTCTGTTGTATTATCTCCATTACAAGAAATATATATATAGAGCACACTTCCGTATAATTCTTCTTCTATTATTTGTGATTGTAACTGAGTAAAATAAAAAATGTTACCTGAACAGCTTCATGGTAAAGACACAGACAAAATAAAAATAATGTGCTCTCGTAATTTGGTAGGGCACACACAAGACAATATAACGACATGACAAACATGCAGACAGAATTAGAGAACATCAGAAAACAATGAAGAGGCAACAGGTAGGATGAATATGAACGATAACAGATTGTAAGCAGAACGTTCGGAAAGAACGCACAAACTTCATGTTTCGTTGATACTTACTGGAACTTGTTTTTTAATTTTCTCTCTCGCGTTCACTTCAATGAATCATATTTTCAACTCTGAAAGATATTGCATATTCTTCTGTTATTACTCTACGTGAATAATTGCATACAATACAGGAAGTATAAAGAGGGATCTTTTTCATTCTTGCAAGGCGACAGATATTAGTACAGCACATTCTCAACTTCCCATCGAAACATGAAACGCAATGGAGACATCGAAGAAACGATATGAAGCATATTTGAAAATATCTGCAACTACAGATTACAAGTTTCACGAATCTTTTTATTACATCTGCAACTGTCGAAATAAATCTCCCTCAAACGTGACGTCACTACATAGCCAAAAAAAGAAATTTTGGTGGCGGCAGCTAAAGTTTTATCGAAAGTGTCCAATCGTCCATAACAACAGTTGAATATCAGGTTGTACAAATGCCCAGCTACAGGAAGAGCTATTATTAAATAATGCGTAGGAAATAAATAAAACGCTATTTTTGTAAATTGTTAAATCAAAATTCTCTCTATTGTTCCATGTAATTACACTCCAGATTTCCAAAATTCGAACGTGGACATTGCTTTATGAAAATCATATGTAAGAGTTGACCCTTTTCTCTTTGTCTCGGGTCATAGACATATATCGGAATATTGGACACACTATCACAGGTCCTAGAAGCGTGTTCAATTTCTTCCCATCAAGAACCGAGTCTTCAGAACAGCAATAGACTTGTGCGTTTAAGCCTCATTTCGCACTGTAATAACCACCCTATTGTTATGCGTCTCATCATTTCATCACCGCAACAATCAAACTTTACCGTAGGAAGCTGTTATTGAATTTAATAAATGGTTAAAGCTTTTCGTTAGGCGTCCAGCGAGCTCATTGAATTTCGTCCCATCAGCCGATAACTAGTTTCCTTTTGAGGCAACATTAATTATTTCCGTTACACAGAGTGAACACAGTTGTTCACGATTTTATATACGCATGTAACGTTCACTTCCATGCTTGCTTGAATTCTATTTAAATGGGAGCGAATCTCTCGGGAAACGTTTAAATATTAACACGCAACACAGCTGAGTATTTCATTATTTTTCTTCTGTAACGGTTTGTACGAAATTCATAAATGAAAGGAAGAAATGCTGAAAACTTTCCTGCTGGATTTTAACAGGCATTTGTGTTTGTCGGGTCAAACATGAGCTGTGCCATACACTGACTTATTCTGGCAGACACAGATCTCATGTATGTGGAAAACACACGATTAAAGTTTAATGCATAGATTAAAAGTGTATGTACAAAAATCGTTTCGAAATTTGAGAAATTAATTAAAATCTTATGATTATTTCTATACATGCTTTTACTAAATAAATTGAAGAAAGCCACTTACGGATTAAGTAAGTTATTTTTTATTTTCCTTTTGAATTTTTCAATCTTACCTCCGTCTTCATTGTTCTATATGGGATTATAGGCCTGCAGAATGACTATTTGTAGCGAAGCATACCCGTATTTATTGAAAGAATAATTATAGTATTAGTTATTTAATCTCACCGGTGACTACTGAGGTGTGATACCATTAATACACTACTCTAGCTGCATAAGATGTGTTCAGAGCAATTTTCATTTTCCATCTCTCTTAATTTAATGTAAGCGTATACATTACCTTTTCACTTTCACTCAAGCAGAATATTAATCACATTATGGCAACTGCACTTTGTTTTACAGGATAGCTTTTCCTTGTCCTTTGGGACTGTCTCTTAAAACTTTATGTAACTCTGCATTTTATGAAACTAATTTTGCAGGTACCCGCTACTAAAGAAATACTTTGGAGGATATTTGGTTTCAAAGGAAGATTTTTTGAACACGCGTCTACACTTGGTAACATCTCATATTTCTTAGGTGACATGTAACTTCCGTGGAATGACGAAATTAATTCATACTTGAAGTTTGTCTCTTCGTAAAGAGAGCATCTCACCCTTATTTTTAATCATCTTCTTTTGGGTGTCATTGGAACTAGCAACCACAAATAATCTCACAAAGACAAAAAGTTGTGCTTGCCTTTGGTTCTTTGGGAAAAACTGCATTAGATAAGCTAGAAAGCGATGCTTGTATCTTAGGTTTAAATTCTAACCGAAAAATATTCAGATATGGAACGGTGTATAGTATACTGTATATCACAGAGAAATGCTTTTTAAAACCCACCAGAGACATTTTTACTCATAATTTACAGACTTTTAATAAATGATAAAATAGCATTTCGGAATTTAGAATTTGCTAGAAGCTGTCTGTTTCACAAAAGGAAGTGCCATATTACATATTTTAATTAACACCTAGGAATTATGTTGTGATTATTAATTTCCGTGTCTGACCAGGGGCACAAAGTAAATTCGGTTATATTTGTAATATAGTGAGAAATTTGTTGGATTTTCTTGTATATAAGCACGTATCCCTTTTATAGAACTTTTTGTTCTGCTGTGTAAGACGGATTTATGTTTTTATTTTGTACTTACCTGAATACAAGAATGAAAAAGAAATAATTGTGTTTCATTTTAGTTGGCCCGTAAAGGCTTTCTTATTAAAATAAACCTTAGAAATAAAAACAGAGAGTTCTGACCACATTCTAAACATTTATTCCATGAATTCTGCACTGAGAATGCCAGTTATCAGGAAAATTTCACGAATACTCCATGTGTTATAACTAGCGTATCATTCTAGTGACCACCGGGACTCCTAAATTTCAGATACAGAACATTTGTTCTCGTTTTCAGGAACAATATTTTTTCTTCATACTAATCCTGGCTAAATCCGTGGAGAAAAGAGAAGTTAGCAGTCGTTAAACTATAGAACAATTTCCCAGTCATACGTATATGGAAATCGAAGATTATTTACTATGCACACAGATCTCGTCATTAGGCACTAGGGTTTATACAAAAACCGACATTTTAAAAAACCGGTTTTCGAATTCCACTATTTCCAAAAAAACAGGTTAAACCGGTTTCCGAATTTTTACAAAAAAAATATAGTTAAAACATTAAAAAATATTTATACTTATTTTAAATTTTTTCAGTAGTATAATATTTATGGAACTACAAAAATATAACAAAATAATATATACTCTATACAAAACCAAATGAAAAAACTAAAGTAACTAAAATCCGTACAAAATATGAATTATAAACTATGTCGGTTGCTAGATTTA